CTAACACACAACAATTTCAGCAAGAAACAAGAACAAGTATTCAACATTTGGAAAGTCAGGTGAGCCAACTAGTATCTACCATGAGTAGATTGGAGTCTCAAGGTAAATTGCCATCACAAACTGTTGTGAACCCAAAGCAAAATGTAAGTGCAATTACATTGAGAAGTGGAAAAGAGTCGAAAGAACATACTGAAGTAAGAAAAACACCCAACCAAGATGAGGAAACTGAAAAAGAGGTCTCTCAGCCTCAAAATGATCAAAATCTTATTGGGGGGCTCCCGAAGTCTTTGGTAATTCCTCCACCTTCTCCTAGTAGATTGGCTAAATCTAAAAAGAATGAAGAAGAGAAAGAAATTCTTGAAACCTTCCGGAAAGTTGAGGTAAATATTCCTTTACTTGATGCTATTAACAAATTCCTCGGTATGCTAAATTTCTCAAAGAGTTGTGCACAAATAAAAGAAAGGTAAAAGGCAATGAAATGGTAAGCATGGGGGAAAATGTTTCAGCTATCCTTTAGAAAAAATTACCTCCCAAGTGTAAAGACCCAGGTATGTTTGCTATCCCTTGCAAGATTGGTAATATTAATATTGAAAGAGCAATGTTAGACCTTGGAGCTTCAATTAATGTCATGCCCTTGTCTGTTTATTCATCTCTGAATGTTGGTCCATTAAAAGAAACGGGTATAATTCTTCAACTTGCTGATAGATCTAATGTGTATCCTAGGGGTGTTTTGTAAGATATTTTAGTACAGGTGCAAGGGTTAGTTTTTCCTGCTGATTTTTATGTAGTTGATATGGAGGAAGATAATAATTCTTGTGATTCAACACTAATATTGTTGGGAAGGCCATTTCTGAAAACAACTAAGTCAAAAATTGATGTGCATGATGGTACATTAACAATGGAGTTTGATAGTGAAATTGTTAAATTTGATATATTTAATACTTCCATTAAACATTTGAATGGCATATCATCTGTTTTTGCTGTGGATATTTTATCACAGGAGGATAATTCTGATTTGATTGGTGATGAGGAAATGAATGTTGCGCTGAACAGAAATCCTAACATTGAGGATGCTTTAGGACGGCGATGGAGTCTAGCCAAAGACGTTAAAGAAAGGAGCTGCTTGGGAGGAAACCCAAGGGGAGTTTATTCAATTCTTTCATTTATTTGTTTTGCATTTTTATTAATTTTTCTCTTATCTTTACATTCTATTTAACATTGGGGACAATGTCAGGAATAAGTGTGGGGAGGGAATTTAACTATTATTCATTATTTGATTCTTCCCTTCAAAAAAAAAAAATTACTAATAAATTTTTTCAAAAAATATAATAATTTTACTAGAATTCATAACATAATTGAATAATTGGTCTTGCGTATTATGAATATTTTGTTTAGTATTTTGTTTGATATGGTGGTGGCTAAACTAAGCAAGCATGAACCTGTGAGATTATTGAGCCTCTGACTGACACTTCAGTCCAATTAATTTGTTCTTATGTGATATCTTCCATAGATATGTATGTCTAGAACTTGCCTTGATTCTCTTTAAAGCTAATTTGATGCATGCATGATTTTTAATATGATTAAGGCCATCTTTGATTTTGAGCCTCACTAGCCAAATAGCCTAGCCAAATAGCCTATTCAAACCATGATTTATTTATCCTTTGTTAGCCACTTTGAGCATTTTTAACTGTATTTTTGTTGTTATGGAACCACATTATAAGCTTCATACCTGAAAATGATTTCCTTAACCTTGCCTAAAGGACTAGGGGAGCTTTGATTGGGTAAATGCATAAAGAGTGAGTGTGGGTAAAGATGTTTGGCAAAATGTCTATTAGTGGAAATAATGAATTTGTCATTGGACTTCTATGAGTTTTTTTGGTTGGTATTTCAAAAAAGAAAAGATAAGTGAGTTGATGTAGTTGTTTCAATTTGAGATTGTTTATAAACTAAAGATGGTGAAACATGTGATGGATATTGTGATTCTTCAAAAAAAAAAAAACAAAAGAATCAAAAGAAAATGAAAAGAAAAAATAAAAAAGATGAAAATGCGAAAAGAAAAGCAACAAAAAAAGGAAAAAAAAAGAAAAAAGAAACGAAACAGAACAGAAGAAAGAAAAAAAAGAATTACTATTATTATTATTTTGTTATTATTATTATTTTCGCTAAACTATGAATTGTTTCTTATGGGATGTGGTAGATTATTTGGTTGGTGTTGAACTATCAAAATAACAAGAGAGATTTGGTTTATTTGGCCTTTATTTTGGTTATGTTCATTCAATCTTTGCTCCTCTAAGTTTTTAAGGTTTTTTTGAACTACTTTCCAAAATAATTCCTACCCTTTACCCTAGCCCCATTACAACCATGAAAAAGTCCTTATGATCTGATCATGCATGTTATCTTGTAGTGGAGAATGAGAAGATATGCAAGCCTATGGCAGAGCACTTCTATAGGTATTGATTTGAGTGAAATACACACACCCTTCAAACACTTGTGCGTTATGAGTGATATTCCCATGAGAGCTTGGTTACTTAGTTCACTCTATTTTCAAATAAACTGCTAACTAACTATTTATAATGTGTTTGAGACCGATGTTCATGAAGTGTTATGAGTTTTCACATGTTTATATTTTTCTTGAATAATGTTTGTGCTTGAGGACAAGCAAATGATTAGTGTGGGGAATTTTGATAAGCACTATTAATATATTTAATTTAGATTAATTCTTATAATAAATAAGTTTTATTTATTTAGTATTATATTTATTTTAAACTTTATTTTATATTTTGTACTAATATAATAATTATATAAATAATTAGACTTGATGAGCAAATTAGTAAGAATTGGGTTTAGTTGATGACTTGGGTTAATTATTTTCCTTTTTATTATTTTAATTAGTTAGCCAATGCCAATGTTTTAATTGTTTTATCGGCTAGCCCAAGTGTCTTTTGTTTTATTTGCTTTTATTTTTGTTTTGTTTTAATTAGCTTTGTGCGTACAGCAGAATCATCGACACCAAAGGAAGACCTTTTCTTCGAATGGCGTCCACGAATTGCTATGAATCGAAGACTCCGTCTGTTGGGCATCCGTGAATTGCTACGAGTTGGACGAGACAATGGTGAAGGCATGAAGCAGAGAGTAATTGCTAATTTTCTATGGTTAGGAAATTTAAGATTATTTATTTTCTAAGTTTTATGTGGTTGAAGAAATTGATTTTATTTGTGAATGTTAGAGAAATTAGGGTTGTTTTTAGGAGCCTGAACTAGTATAAATAGGACTGAATTTTCATCAGTTTGGAGAACAATTTTATTTCTCTGTAAACTTTTAATTATTATGTTCTGCTAAGTTTATTTTCCAACTCAAGAATAATTGAAGTTTTGGTTCTTTTAGGATTGTGAGACTTAATTTGGTTTTCTTTTATGCTATATTATTTATATATCTTCTATTATCTTGATATACTAATGCTTTGATTATATTGTGCAAATAGGATCCGTTGTTCAATTTTCATTCCAGTAAATTGCCATTTAGAATTCTTGAATCCGTAATTGTTTAAGTATTCTAAACATTAGTGGTGAAATAACATAGTTGATTATAAATTAGATTTTCAATCTTATGTTATGAAGATGTATAATCTAGTTTAAATGGACCGAGCTTGCGAGTCTGTTGGCTAGAATTGGTAGTCTTTCTAATTTTTAATGCTGGAAATTAATTAAATCCTAAGAGCTTGTTTAGGGATGTTAATTGTCTAGGGAAGTAATTGAAGAGCCTATTTTGATTACCGATAAAGTAAGGAGAGATAGGTTGTTAGAGCTTGTTAATAACCATAACAAGTTTGGTGTAGGATAAACAGATTTACACTTTATTTCAATGATCACTTCTTGGAATCAATTATGATATTATGCCTTGGGTTGGATACTAGTTTTTTATTGATTCATTTTATTTGATATTAATATTTTTGTCATTTTATTATTTGCATTTTGAACTTGAATCGTCATTCAATTCTTAATTTAATCTTGGCTTAAAATTAAATCGAACCAATCTCTAGGGTTACGACCTTACTCATCATTGTTGCAAATTATAGAGTAAGTAATTTATTATTTGTTGGTATCGACGCCCATCAACTAGTTTGCTTTTGAAACTTACCAGTTCATCATCCACTTCCCCGGGGTTTAGAGAACACTGCATACATAGCTATGTCTAATGCTAAACTCTCAATTGCACATGTTTCTAAAATTGGAGATATTCTAACGATGGTTGGGCATCATTTGAAGCTCCAAAGGATTAAGGGGTAAGAATTTTAATATGCAATACATTGTTGGTTATACGGTGACTAGTTAGGTGGACACCCTTAGCTTGTTTCACCAGCCTTGATTGGTATGTAAATAATGATTGACCAAGTGAGCTGTCTACTAAGGCTGTTGTTTTTGGCCGCCTAGAAGCCAACCCACTTCATCAATCACCATTTACAGACCGATCATGGCTAGTGAAACAAGCTAAAGGTGTCTGCATAACTAGTTACCGTATAATCAAACCCATAGCTTGCTTCACCAGCCATGATTGGTATGTAAATAATGATTGACCAAGTGGGCTGGCTACTAAGGTTGTTGTTTTTGGCCGCCTAGAAGCCAACCCACTTCATTAATCACCATTTACAGACCGATCATGGCTAGTGAAACAAGCTAAAGGTGTCTACATAACTAGTTACCGTATAACCAAAAACATAGGGGATATTAAAATTCTTACCCCTTTAATTTTACCATTAAGCATATGGAGCCTCAGCTGGTCCCAACCATTATGAGAATATCACAATTTTTAGAAACATGTGCAATATAGAGTTTAGCATTACACATAGCCATGTATGCAGTATTCTCTAAACCCCGGGGAAATGGATGATGAACTAGTAAGTTTCAAATGCAGAGTAGTTTTGTCCAAGATTCTTCAACTCTATACTCATTCATTACCCAAACTTCCATTTGACGTTTATAATGAAAACCTGCAAAAAGCAATCATCTTGATCCACTTATAAAAAAGGCAGCCCCATGTTCATGGATGGATAACATTATAGATTTGGCAGTTTGAGTGGTTAAATTATAGGAAATTATGTTCCAATTCCAGTCACTGTCATCTAAATTATTGTTGCACCAGTTGAGATTACCACTCACAAACACAACAGTTATGGGATTAACAAACCCACTAATAAACCCTCTTTTTCTTCTTTTCCAGGTCCCATACTTCAAACTGTACACCAAAACCATATTCTCATCACTATAGTCAGCATAATAAGCATAAACAGCCTTGTAATCGTCATTATGCTCGTCGTAGCCAAATGCAAATATGCTATTGTAGCCCAACTGCCAGACATCTGGGATATTCTTGAGGTTTACATTTGATGAAGGGTTATAATTTATTATTTTTTTAGATTTTGCACGAAAACAAAACAGCCCATTCCAAGAACCTGAAAACTCAAAACCACCTCTAGGGACTAAGGGCGAGCAGTCATATGTAATAAGCATGTGAAACTGGTGATTGCTTGTTTCTGCTAGAGAAAACAATTATATATAGCTAAGCTGATTTACATTACTATATGTCATGATCATATTATCCATTTTTGAATGCAATGACAATTTTGATTCAATTTGGCAAATATTGGAGATGAGATTAACACACGCCAAGCTTTTGAAACACACCTAAATTGGAATAGAGACTTCACAGGCAGCCGTTTTAGGATTTCCATGATTATATCGTGATTCAATTTTGGTTGTGGCTTATGGAGCTTAAGAGTTAGGAGTAGTAAATGACATTTTGATTGTGTCTTAGATTACAATTCCATTTGTTGTCTGAAAACAGGAAAAAATTTTATTGTTTATTTATATTGAACTTTGATCCTACCCTATATTCACAAGAAATTTGAATGTCAGTACAAAAGGAATAGAAGTTAAGGAATATGGAAATCATAGCTACAATATGCTTACGTCCCAAGGGCCACACATCATGTTACGGTTGTAAGTTAAGCACAATTAACCATAGAGTTCTTCGGCTATCTAGTTGTCATATCCAACCTAAAACCAATTGTTGATAAGTAGGTGTACATTAATCATTTAACCACATCCCTCCACGTTAAGCCACAGTGCCACATCTCGAATCGAGCAGGGGCTGAACTCGGCCAACTCGCCCGACGCCCAACAATCCCCCTCCCAGCACTTGCCCCAACCTTTGAACACCAAGCCCAGTTGCACTGCATGCCTCACTCGGTCCTTAGCCTCCGCGCCCATCTTCTCCCACCAAAGACTACACTTGGCCCGACCTACGCCCACATCCCATCTGGGACTATACTAGACTTTCACCTCGCTATCGATTAGAACCCTTGACCTCCGCTCTGATACCAATTGATGGATCTCAGAGCAGCACTATGCTAAGTTCCCAAGTGGTCACCCATCTTGCGACTATTATACGTCAAACACGCTAAATCACAGAGTCCTTAACTATTTGATTGTCATATCCTACTTAAAACCAATTGGTGATAAGTACGTAGACATTAATTATTTAATCACATCCCTCCAGGGTAAGCCACAACGTCAAGTCTCGAATCGATTAGGGGCTGAACTCGGCATACCTGGCCAACGCCCAATACATAATTTATAATCAACATTATCTTTACTTAATTATGCGCATTCACTTCACTATTTCATATTTTCCTCTAGTATAACAATATTCTTTTTAAGCACTATGACCTATTCATTAATTCTTACTACCATCTACCTATTTAATCCATCCCTAACTATCAACACCCCACAACTGTTTACTTATCGATTATTGCATATGCATTCATGGGATTCATATTTCTTTTACGTGTTTTACCATTATGTCTCTAACTTAATCCCATCTACCTCCACACAAAGCCACAACAACCAACATAGCTACAATATTTCTTTATATTTTCATCATTTACCACTACATTTTTAATGCTTTATGAATAAAAGAATTTAATACCATTAAATTCAAATTTTATAGATTGACAAATGAACAGGTTTAACCACATTATATAGCTTTCTAATGAAAATGAAAACTTCAATTTTTTTGAGAAGTTGGAGAGAGAATTAACAAAATAGCTAAAAAGCTATTTGTGGCAGTAGTTTATATCTCTATCCCACTTTTCATTGTCAACAAAATTGCATATGTGGGTGTATTAAGTAAAAAAAAAATTATGAAAAATAGAAAATGTATTCAACAGAATATGCTTCGAAATGAATGTGCCCATGTTTTCCCAATTTCAATTTCTTTACAAAGAAAACAATTTTTCTGTGGTTGTTCAAACGGAAAACATAGATCTACACTTCTCAAAAAAATTTCAAGTCATATAGTTAACACAGAGAACAAGACTAGAGATTACCTTCTCAATCTAAGGAGCTTTGATGACGATGGAAGAAATCGGGTTGATAGATGTATTCAGACCATGTTTTTTCAATCGAGAGACGAGAGTACAAAAGATATTGAGACCGAGATAGAGGATTAAAGTGTGAGGAATATTGAGAGAGGGGATTTCAGTGCTTAGAGAGAGAGAGAGAGAGGGAGAGGGGGTACAGGGTAGAGGGGGGAAATGGTCAAGCGCATATAAATTGTTAGGGTTAGACATTTAGACTAGAGGAAATTGGGTGAGCAGACAAAAAACAAATTCCATTTAGAGAATTGGGCCTATTTGTTTTCCATTTGAAAAAAAGGTTAAAGTATAAGTAATGGAGATATACGAAATGGAAAGGGATGAATAAGAGAGAGTATTTTGGTTCTTAGAAAGATGGAGGTAGAGGGGCGAAATGGTAAACATCATATAAATTTCGAGGGTTAGACATTTAGACTATATGAAATTGGGCGGGTGACAAAAACAAATTCCGGTTAGAGAATTGGGCCTATTTGTTTTCCATACAAAAAAGGTAAAGAGTATAAATAATATAAATATGTGAAATGGAAAGGGAGGGATAAGAGAGATGATTTTTGTGCTTGGAGATAGAGAGAGAGAGAGAGAGAGAGAGAGAGAGAGAGAGAGAGAGAGAGAGAGAGAGAGAGAGAGAGAGAGAGAGAGAGGAGGGTAGTGGGGGAAATGGTAATTAGCACATAAAGGATTAGGGTTAGATATTTGTAGTTGGAGGAAATTGGGGGGGGGGGGGGCGGGGGGGGGGGCGGGTGCGACGAAGAAAAAATTTCATTTAGAGTATTGGGTCTATTTGTTTCTCAATGTAGAAAAGGTAAAGAGTATAAAAAATGGAAATATAAGAAATGATAATGGAATCAAATTTGTCCATACTAAGTAGCCCTTAAATATTCAAGAGGGAATCGAAAAGAAATAAGATATAGAATATGAATTATATTCCACTATTTGGTTTTCGAAAGAAATATATTTTAGAAATTGTATTTATTTTTTGTTTCATTTTAGAAATAGAAAAGCAAGATATTGATAGGAATTATATTCCACCATTATCTTTACTTATGCACATTCACTCTACTTATTTTTATATCATTACCTTCACCCACCTACCAAACCATCTAGCTACCAGTGATAGGAATATTTTTGTAATAAAGTTTTGATGAGCCAAATGTATTTTAGATCCCCTTAGATTTTAGGTCTTTAGTACAAGCATCATAATTCAGTATATCAAGTCAGTATACAAAGGGAGAACAAAATTAATTGGGAGAATTAATTTTGGTCGTACAAGTATTCATTCGGAACTGAAGTACTAAACAACGACGTTGTAAAGAAAAATTGGATGAGCCTAACGGCGAAATGGTAGAAGTCCTTACACACAATGATTACACCCGAGTTCAATCCCCTTTAAGGATTTATTTTTTATAAGCCGGATTTCAAAGAAGGAGCACAATGTTTCAAGATGAAGCAGAATCCCTCAAATCAGAAAAGCACAATGTTCAAAGTCAAAGAAGCAAGAAGTGCCAAGTCAAACAAGCACAATGTGACAAAGAAGCAAGAAGATCAGAAATTGTATAAATTCGAAAAGAATTTATATTGATACATCTCACATGTCACAAGAATCCTAATTGCCTAAAGATATGGTCAGAACGGGGAAAAATTTATGAAGGCATGGATAAAAGATCTTATCCTAGAAATAAATTCTATCAGAAGAACTTATTGCCAAAGAGACATTGGAACTTCAAAATAGACAAGGAAAATAATATTTTAGAAACAACTTGAAAATCAAGTTGAATTAAAATATTATCTTGTCAGGCAAGTTGACGATCAAATCAAAATTGAAGACCTACCACTGTCAACAATATCAGGCTATAAGATTCAAATGTCAAATATCAAATTATCCCACTCCAACGGATATATTTGGTTATCTATAAAAAGGCCATGAAGACTTGAAGAAAAATACGAATATATAGAAAGTGATAGAGGTGAATACAAAAAATTCGAAAAGTGCAAGTGCTCAAATATCCATTAGAGACTTAGTCTGAATAGTCTAAAAAATAGTTGGAGAGATATACAATTACATTTGTATTTGTAATTGTTAGAAGAGTATAGCTATGTGCAAAAATAATCTTGTGAGTGTAGCTGTGTGCAGAAGACTCGTGATTGCTAAGTTTAGCTGTGTGCAAAACACTTGGTTGGCGTTGAGTATAGTTGTGTGCGAAATACTCGTAGCTGAGTGTAGCTGTGTGCGACACACTCGGAGTTGGGTGTAGCTGTGTGCAAGACATCCGGAAGAAGTGCTTGTGTAGCGCTTATTCACTATTGTAACTGTGTGTGGAAAATAGTGAATTACTCCTAGAAGTGAATGGAGTAAAGTGGACTAGGAATATTACGCCACTTCCGAACCACTATAAATTGCCTCTCTCATTTACATACCGCACTTACTTAATTCGCTCTATTTATCTATCCTATCCGACTAACCCGTTTACTATTCACGGTTAATCTTAATCTTTCGGGTTTAGCAAGTTTTCACGTATGCATGTAACTCAAACTTTCCGAGCTTAACCTTTGAATTATTCTAAGCAAGTTTGACGTGTTGCATGTGACGTTCGTCATATGGTCGATGTGATACGATATCTCATTTATAGTCTTTAATATTATTGTTAAATATTGAGGGAACCATCTCCTTTAAATATTCAAGATATTCATGTCATATTTACACCTCATCTGAGCATTAATTCCACACGTGCCTGTGATTCAAATTATTGATTGGGCATAACTCTTTACACTTATTTATTCCGCTGTGCATTTCAATCTATTTACTTGTTACTTAGAGTTGAAATTACCAAAGAGTTATTTATTGTGAAAAAGTTTAAAAGTCTATTCACCCCCCCCCCCCCTCCTCTAGACTTTTACCACCCTATCGGGACGAACAATTGGTATCAGAGCAGTTGTCTATTTGAGTCAACCTTGACTGCTAGACAGATCTCGAAAAATCAAAATGATGAAAAGAGATATAGCTCTTGTCCAAAATTTACTGTTTTCCTTAGAAAACTTTGATGATTGGAAAATTCGCATGCAGGTACATCTATCCGC